ACGCAATCAGAAGAAGAGCCTCAAAAAATATTCTTTTAAAAAATTACGTCTTTTGAAGAGCCTCAAAAAATATTCTCTAAAAATCCAAGTCTTTGGTTGCCCCTCAAAAATACTTTTTAAAAATCCAACCCGTATTAGAGCGTCAAAAAATATTCTTTTACAAATTTACGTCTTTTGTAGAGCCCCAAAAACATTCTTTAAAAAATCCACGCCTTTTGTATGGCCTCAAAAAATATTCTTTAAAAAATTCAGACCTTTAGTAGTCCCTTTAAAATATTATTTAAAGAATCCACGCCTTTAGTAGAATTTCAAAAAATATCCTTTATAATTCAATGAAAATAAATCCTATTATTGAATACAAAAAAGTTATACTGAAACCCTAAATAGCAAATATAAATTCTGTTCCGTTTCGCATTCCTTGAAATGATTTTCTATTTCTCTCACATCCTCCCATTCAAAAAACAACCTGCGCCATTTGCTCTGTTTGACTTCATTGTTGTCTCTTCGAATCAGTTCACTTGTCGCCGCCTAACCGTTCAGTTCGTTCGCGCGTTGTCGTCGGTAGTTAATACGCCCAGTGTAAAAGAAACCTCAAAAATTCAGTGTTAAATTAAAATATTTATTTCCAAGCATTATCCAAAAGTTATTTGTCAGAAAAAATATTAAATTTCCTTTCATTTTTCATATTTTCCAATTGGAAAGACATAACAATCCAATCCGTGTATGTTCTAATGTTGTTCTTGCTGTTCTTGTTGTTGTATTAAAACGGTAATGCATTCATGCAAATTTTTGCTTGCGGGTTTTGATTGTATTTGTGTGTAAGCTTACGGAAATGGCGCGGTTTCGCTAGAATGTGTTTTGTTTGTCTATCGGGTTGTCGGTTGCGTTTTTGTTTCGTCAAGCGGGGAATACATATTCGAAAATGTCGGTCGGTCGGTTTGTTCGTTCGGTGGTGAATATTTTTTTTGGTGAATTGAAAAAGAGTGTTCAATAAAAAAATGATGAGAATCTGAATTATTTTCATCTTCAAATGGTCTGTTTTTATGTATAGTAAAAAGTGTGTGTGTGTGTGTGTGTGTTTGATAGTGATTTTGTTCAGTTGCCTGTGCGGCATTAATGGAGAATTATTTTTTAAATTTTACGAGAAATTGGATTTATTTTTTTCGTGGTGGTAAGTTTTGGTATTCTTATATGTAGGAAATTCTCTTGTATTCCCAAAAAAAAAAAAAAAACCAATGCGCCATCTATAGATGAGTTATTATATTTTTCATACATATTGTAGATAAGAACCCAAGGTATGCATTTTTTCAACACAAAGTCTACGTTTAGCCAAGATGTTATCAAAAATGAGATTTGAGTTTTTAAATAATTATTTTGAGGGCGCGCAGATTTTTAATTTTTTTTCAGGTTGTCCCATAGGCTTAGATTTTTTAAATCATTTTTTCAGTGTCCCCTAAATAAATAATTTTTTTGTGGTACTCCCATAGGTGTGATTTTTAGAATATTTTTTTTAGGTCCGTTGTGATAATCCACAAGAAGAAAAGATAAAAAAAGAGATCTATAGGGGAGAAAAGATTGGGGACATAAAGAGAGATGAGAAGCTTACAGAAAGATATAAGAAGGTAGGTTTGGAATGATGTCGATGGCAATGGAGATCAGATATATTACGTGTCTAGGTTGACCTTTCCCAACCACTTTAGGTTTCTAATTATAGTGTAGATTAGAGCAGGTTCGGTTGTTGAGAAAAAGCTAAGCCAGGGCTGGACAGTGACACAGAAGATGCTCAATTGTCTCCGTCTCCTCCTCGTCAACGCAGAGTCTACAGTAATCAGTTGCATCAAGATCCCATTTACTAGTAAAGGCCCGGATATTGCAATCACCAGTAATGATACCTGTCATTACTCTTATTTCAGCTTTGCTCAGGTTCAACAGTGAGTCTTTTGGTAGACAGAGTCGGCCAAATGAATCTTGCCACGTTGTACCTAGGTTCGGCGTGCCAAAGTTCATAGGCTCTTTTGTCGAAGAACGCCTCAAAGTTCCAATAAAAATGACATATGGGTGGTTTAATTGAGTCATCAATTTCTAGATCTGTCGATTGAGATCCTCGTCTAGCTAGTTCATCTGCTCTTTCGTTATCAAAGATGTCAATGTGTCCTGGTACCCAACACAGTCGATAGCTGTAAGTAAGTTCTTCCAAAGCTGTTCTGCACTTGAGGACGGCCTCGGATTTGATATAACAAGATTTGATGGCTTTAAGAGCTGCCTGACTATCACCGGTTCAACGACCCCTGCATCCAGATTTTTTTATCAATTCCGCTGCCTTCCAAATCGCGAAGATTTCAGCTTGGAACGCACTACAGCTGCAATCTAGCTTGTAGGTTAACTCAAGACCTAGCCTTTCACAGTAGACGCCCGCCCCTGTACCTTCTTCAATCTTGAATCCGTCTGTATAGAAGGCCAGACCGTCCAGAAGAGGGTTACTTCGTTTCCAGTCGTCTCTACTAGGAATAACGACATCTACATCGTCAAATCTCAGGGCTAGTGATATATAGTCGCTTAGTTTAACGCGTTGGTCCAATGTCATACCTGGCTCGTTCAAAATACTACCAAGCCCAAAGGTACAACTTCGCCAGAGGTTTTGTTCATGCAGCCTTAGGGCGCTAAGCGCGGCCTGACATATAATGCTGAGGCTCAGAGGCGTACAATTCAGCGTTGCGTTCAGAGCAGCTTGTGGCGTACTCCTCCTGGCTCCTGTAACTAAAATCGAGGCGGCTCTTTGTACCTTATCTAATTTCCTGAATATCGACTTGTGGCGCAGACAGTTCCACCACACACAAGAGAACCATAGGATAGGATGGGCCAACCACGGTGTTATACAACCAGTGTATGGTCGATGGTTTATCACATTTTCTGCAGGAGTTCCTTGTCCACTTAAGATGGGCGAACACAGGCCGAAAGGACCCGTCTGGTTGGGATCTCGGATAGGGAGACCGCAGCAAGGTTGGCTCCTTCCCAGAGTGTACCAAAGCCGCAGTTGATGATTTTGGCACCCTTTCTGCATGAAGACTAATCCAGCCATGAGGATCAGATTTGTCGATTATTATCACTTGAAGGTCTTCATCAGCGGCTACCTTGTTCGGTCTATAATATGGCTTACGCTGTCTTTGGCTGCGAACCTTGGAGTTTGCTTTTCCAGAGGAGGTTGATGCCTTCTCCGTACTAGGCTATTTCTCCGCCGTTTGTTGTCCAGCGACAGCCGCATATGAGGTAGAAGGGTCAGTCAGAAGAGAAGTCATCGTCTTCTTGGGTGAAGGTTGCGGACCTTCTGAAGAGCGGATGCGCTTCACAGATTGCTCCGTGAGGTGGTATTTACTCTCCCAGAAGACGATGGTTCCTTGGGGCCTTCCCTTCGCCCTGTTTCGACCACTAGTGGATCCACCCAAACTTTAGCTTCACCTTTGTCGCAAGGCGTAGAATCGGGCGTTGATCACTCTTATGGGTGACATTTTGCTTCGGGATGTTCTCAATATCCTTTCCTGTGCCTTTTGACTAGGGTTCGGCTTCGAGCTGGGCTTCAGATCAGAAGTCGACATAGCGCCTTTGTCAGAGATAGAGTCAGAGACTGTCAGCCAGAGACTGCTTATGGGAGAACCTGAAAAAATGATTTTAAAAATCTATGCCTATGGGGGAACCCTAGAAAAATTACTTAAAAAATCTACGCCTATGGGGGAACCTGAAAAAAATTTTCAAAAATCTACGCCTCTAGGGGAACGAAAAAAAAAATTATTTAAAAAATCTACGCCTATGTGAGAACTTTAAGAAATCTACGCCTATGGGAGAACCTTAAAAAATGTCCACGCCTATGGGAGAACGAAGAGTTCCTTTCTTTGCTCCTTTAGACTATTGTGGATAGCGTTTAGAGTCCCAATTTGGTCGTCCCCTTCCAGAACTACAGTCCTGTCAGCCAGAGACTGACATGCTCATTTGCCAAAAGAATAACCGGTTGTAACAGATACAACTGCAGGTGTCAAAGCATCCACACCTAGAACAGCCGGATCACAAAAACCTACCCCGATCCATTTTGGTCCACGGGGGATCCGAAGATCCCCAAGGTTTCCACGAAATGCAGAGAAAAGTTGACCTAGAAGACCTGGGTCAGTTTCACTCTGCACATCATGGAGACGCCCTTCCCATCCGCCACTCGGGAAGGCGCGCCCAGTAGGAGATTGGCAACTCCCCTGGGATTTTTTGAATATTTTTTTAGAGGTTGATTTTTTAAATATTTTTTTTAAGTTCCCCAAGGAGGGAAGATCCTCACTTTAATGAAAAAATCAATTTTTTTTTTAAATTTTAATAATTTATTTTTTTTATTTTGTATGTTGAAATAATTATTCATGGTTATTGGTTGTTTAGTTTGGTCTAAGTTTTTTAATTTGTTTAACAGTAATTTTAGATTAACTGTAATTCTATATATATTTAGGTATAGTAATATGGTTTCCTATACAAATAGAAAACCAATTTAAAAATAAAACAACAAAGGATTTTTATGATGTCGATCATTAAAAAATAAAATTAACTCTTTATGGACAATGTCGATAAAATCAGTGCATTTGTGATAAGGTTGCAACAACAACTAATTATTATTAAAAAAAAAACTATAAAAAAATACTATGGTACAAAATGAAAGCAAAAATTCAAATCACAAAAATATTCAAATTCAAATCGAAGTATTGCGGGAGTTATTAAAAATAACAACTAAACTCTAAACTTGGCTTAATGCATTTGTGGTTAAGAGAAGAAATGTAAAATGGTTAGATATTTAAATTCCAATGAAAAATAAGGGAATTCAAATATCTAACATTTCAATCAATAAATTAAAATAATTTGTATATGGCTGTGGTCTCAATATTGTTTTTCTTTTTGCTTTAAGTTAATGCCTTTAGTCATTTGTTTTTCTTCGGAAAATCGTAAAATAAAATAAAAAGTAAAAACCCAAGAGTGAGAAAACTTATAACTTAATTTCCTGCCATTTGTGCCGATTGACCCATTATACTCGCCTCCGCCAAGGCGGATATCGAAGACATGGGTATACCCAATTTACGTGTGACATTTATTTGAGCCACAGCCGCATTTCTCAATGCACACAAATGGCACATCTCCGCCTGACTCTTGGCCAGCTTGATAGCCTTTTCAAACAATTCCACAGCTCTATCCAAATTGGCACGTTGCACTTCCACTGTGCCCAATGTTTCATAGGCCAAACCACATTTATCATCGATTTCAATTGCCTTCTCCATCAGGTCAATGGCCAGGGCAATATCACCCTTCCATTGCAGACTCATAATACCGCGATGTACCAGCAACGAAGCATTATCGGGAGCCAATTTGATGGCCTTCTCATAGAATTGCTCAGCCTGGGGGAATTGCTGTTGATCACTCAAGACCTGGGCCATTAAACTATAACATTCCACACAATCGGGATATTTCTCCACAGCATTCTTAAATTCATTCATGACCATCATAAGACGCATTTGATCCTGAGACATCAGAGCAATACGATATTCAGCATAACATTTCTGAACATAAGCCATGGCATTGTTTGGTGCCAATTTCACGGCCATTTCAAAATCATCTAATGCTTCCGAAAGCTGATCCAAAAGAATAAAGATTTGGGCCCGTTGATGATAGATATCAGCACAGTCAGGTTGGAGTTTTTGAGCTTTGGCAAAATCTTCAATACCGGCATCTTTGTTTTCTTGTTGTATATACAATGAGGCACGTCTTATCAAGGCATATGTACGTAACTTCTTATCAGCGTCATCTGCAAGAACAAAGCGGAGATAGAGGAGATGAAAAGAAATTAAAAATAAAATCTACGGACGTAAAGATAAGTCAGGGTCTGTGAAAGATAAATCTAAAAATGTACGCCATAACAATATTTAAATAATCTATGCCTATGGGAGAACTTCATAAAATTATTTTAAAAATCTACACCTATGGGAGAACATAAACAATATTATTTTCAAAATCTACGTAGGAGAAGCTCTGCCAATGGGAGAACCTCAAAAATGATTTTAAAAATCTACGCCTATGGGTGAAATCTAGACAAATTATTTAAAAAATCTTGGCCTATACCCTAGATTTTTTTTTTTTTAATTTTATTTGAGAACCTATGGAGGAGCCCTAAAAAAATTATTTTAAAAATGTACGCCAATAGGAGAACCTCAAAAAAAATATTTAACAAATCTACGCCAATAGGAGAACATCAAAAAAAAAAAAAAATTAAAAATCTACGCCAATAGGAGAACCTCAAAAAAATATTTTAAAAATCTACGCCAATAGGAGAACCTCAAAAAAATTATTTTAAAAATCTATGCCTATTTGAGAACCTATGGAGGAACCCTAGAAAAATTATTTTAAAAATCTATGCCTATTTGAGAACCTATGGAGGAACCCTAGAAAAATTATTTTAAAAATCTACGCCTATTTGAGAACCTATGGAGGAACCCTACGCCTAGAAAAATTATTTTAAAAATCTACGCCTATTTGAGAACCTATGGAGGAACCCTAGAAAAATTATTTTAAAAATCTACGCCTATTTGAGAACCTATGGAGGAACCCTAGAAAAATTATTTTAAAAATCTACGCCTATTTGAGAACCTATGGAGAAACCCTACGCCTATTTGAGAACCTATGGAGGAACCCTAGAAAAATTATTTTAAAAATTTACACATATTTGGGAACCTATGGGGGAACCCTAGGAAAATTATTTTAAAAATCTACGCCTATTTGAGAACCTATGGGGGAACCCTAGAAAAAATATTTTAAAAATCTACGCCTATAGGGGAAGCCAAGAAAAATTATTTTAAAAATCTACGCCTATAGGGGACCCCTAGAAAAATTATTTTAAAAATCTACGCCTATAGGGGACCCCTAGAAAAATTATTTTAAAAATCTACGCCTATAGGGGACCCCTAGAAAAATTATTTTAAAAATCTACGCCTATAGGGGACCCCTAGAAAAATTAGTTTAAAAATCTACGCCTATAGGGAAATCCTAGAAAAATTATTTTAAACATCTACGCCTATGGGGGAACCCCAAAAAAATTATTTAAATAATCTACGCCAATTGGAAAATCTGAAAAATCCTTAAAAAATTACGCCAATGGGAGAAGCTCAAACATTTTAAAAAATTTTAGCTACACCATTCTGCATCCCATATACAAAAAATACTCCCCACCGCTATAACTCACCATTATTGATCACAGCATCCAAATCCTGTTGAGCCTCCACAAATGAACCCGAAATCAAATGGAAAGTACCACGCAATAGCAACGCTTCTGTTTTATATTGTGATTCCGATTCAGATGATTCCAGCTCTTCATTGCAAGCCGCAATAATATCATCATATTTTTCATTATCCAAGGCCTGCTTGGCACGACCAAAACCATGAGATTTATCCAGCGACTCGGGCAAAGACATTGTCAATATGGGATCCGAAACAAAGGAACGCATATAGGTGTTAATAAAGCTCTTCGAGGGTAATACAGGTTTCTTATCTTTAATGGCCTTTTCGGCATCTTCACGTCCGGTCTGTTTTAAAATGCGATCGGCATACAAAATCGTATTGTTATTTTGGAACATTTCCAAAATACATGTCGCAGTGACATCATCTAAACATTCAGAGATTTCATTGGTGGCCTCATAGGCTTTAGCCCTGCGGAAATAGGCTTTGGCATAGCGGGGATTGTATTCCAACGATTTGGTACAATCTTCCTTGACTTTCGGCCATTTGCGTAGCATTTCGTAGCTGGCAGCACGATTTTGATAGAAAATGGCTAAATCGGTTTTATTGTCCTTGGGACATTTGTCAATGGCCTTGTCATAGAAGCTGATGGCTTCATCGAATTTACCATTACGATAACAGGCATTGCCCTCGTTCTTGAACATGGTGGCCTCCTTCAGGGGAGACAATTTTTCATTTTCCAGCTCGACAGTCTTCTTTTTCTTTTCCAATTCCTTGTCCTCGGTGGTGCCATCAATTGACAGGGACTGTTTATTGGAATCCAAAGCCTTTTGCTTTTTCTTGCCGCTCTCATCGGAACTGCTAGAGGGTGGGGTGTTTACCTTGCGATAGACATAGATACCCGCTCCAATGGCCAATGGAGTGCCGATCAGCAAAGCCAATTGCCATTTGGTTAATTTTACATTGCCAAACTTCAAGGTTGTGGACATTTTGATGTGTGTTGTTGTTGTTTTTGTTGCAGCTGTGACAATTTCTTATAGACGTGTTGTTGTTGTTTTTGTGACTAGCGCCCCAACGTTCAACTCTGAAATGAGAATCAAATAGAAAAATTAACACTTGTGTTTCAACATTGATTTATCACATTTTGAAATTCAATTTTTTCTCAGTTTCATTGCAAAAATAGTTGCAGCTTCTTTTTCACACAGCACCGCCAATAGGCGTTTTATTTCATTCAGCTGCTTCCTTCCTTCCTTCTCCATCCAATCATCCACTAACCTTTACTCTCGTGTATTTTTCTAAATTTTTATTTTCTATTCGTTGTTTTACTCTCCTCAACCAGTTGAGAGCTCGATTTTATTGGGAATTTGTTAAAACAAACAATCGGATTAATTGATTTGCATTGAATTTTGTTTATCGCCGACACGATTTAATTCACGAATTTGATTTAATTTATGTAATTTTACTCGTAAACCCCCAAAAAGAACAAAAACCAACCCGAGAAATCTTCTAATTGGGAAAAAAAGGCAAGGCATGTGAATAGAACAGAATGACATTTGCAAAATGGGGGGTTGCCACATGTATGCTGATTGATTTGGTATTGTGTGGGAAAATTCCCAATTACTCGGATACATGAAATTAGATAAAAATTATTGTCGAATAAAATTTAGAAAAATAAGATTTAATTTAATAATTTGACAATTGAAACTCAGAACGTTCATTTGATAGGTCCGTACCTAATTTCATGCACATGCGTGACATCCGCCTGCCTATGCTAAATTGTAAACAAAAAGTACATTTTTGATCCGAAAGAGATGAAAGTTGACACAGCTTGAAATTGGAGAAAAATCGATTTATATTTATATATAACTCCCAAATTCCCAAGGTTTGTCTGATGGAGACGAGATCTAGCATAGCATATAAAATTGACTCTAGAATAAAATATGTTAAGTTTCATTGGAGTCGGATAAAATATAGATCTATATTTTTATTTTCTGATTTTATATAAATGGTGCACAAAACTCCAAAGGTTTGTCCGATTAACACAAAATGTTTCACAGCGTACAAAGTACAGGCTGGCGCAGGCGTTTACTGTAGGGAATTAGGACTATATATGTCGATAGTCAGGCGGCCCTGAAAGCGGTGAAGTCGCATACTATAAACTCGAAAGCAGTTCATGATTGTAAGACCGCTTTGAATGATATACGACAGATAGTTGGTTTATGCTGGGTTCCAGGACATAGTGACATGGAAGGGAATGAGATAGCCGACGAGCTTGCCCGAGGGGGCTCACAGTCGTCCAATCTTCTGATTGAGAGATCTGCTATTTCATTGACAGAATCCGTGCGTTCCATTGCGAGGTAGTCGATAACAGATGGCTAAGGGAACCTGCTTGCAGAATCTCAAAATCTATCTGGCCTGAATTCTCTCGTAAAAGAACGTCTTCGCTGCTGGAACACAATAAGAGTGAGATCAAAATCGTTGTGGGGATTATAACTGGTCACTGCAAAATTAGATCTCTCACTTCTAAGTGGGACTCCAGTGGAGAGGATTACTGTCGTCTATGTGAGGACGAAGAAGAACTAGAAACAATTGAGCACATCCTCTGCAAACCCTAACCTAACCTAAGTACAGGCTGATATAGGTTGGTTAGGAATGTACGGTTGCTAATTAGCTTTGTCAAAAATTTGACTTGGCTAAAATAATCTCTCTTCCGCCCTTTTTTTTCTCACTATCTTTTCACTCAGAGACATTTGTTCCTTGTGGTCATCTATGTCAAAGCTTAGGTCTGCTTGGGGGCAATGTACACATACATAGGATATATAGACGGCAGTAATCATCTCCTTTGATTTCCCATTTTGAAATGTGGGATGTAATACTGCAGTGACCTGTTATAATCTTCACATTGATTGTAATCTCTCACTTATTATGGGACAACAGCGAAGAAGTTCTAGGGCCATCTGTTGCCGACTACCTCGCCGTAGATCAAACGGATTCTGCCAATAAAACATTCAATGGGCTGTTGCACAGATCTCTCAATCGGAAGATTGGACGACTGTGAACACCCTCTCGAGGAAGCTCGTCGGCAATTTCGTTCCCTTCCATATTACTATGTCCTGGAACCCAACAAAAATTAACTATCCGTTGTATATCACGAAGAGCAGCCTTGCAATCACGAAACGTTTTTTAGTGGATAGTGCACGACTTTAAAGCCTTCAGGGCCGCCCTACTATCGACATATGTAGTCACCGGTCGGCAGTAAGTGTTTTGACTATCTCAGCCGCTTTCGTAGTTTCAAAGATTTCTGCTTGAAAAACGCTGCAAAGATTATCAAGTTTATAGTTATAGATTTCTAGTTTCCTGCAAAGACATAGAAACTGTAAAGACTCGACAAAATGCATTTTGACAAAATAGTTTATGAAAATATATATCCTTGAAGGCGTCAAAGTGCAGACCTCTGATTTTATTTACATTTTATAAACACATTTTCGCGTATTGGCGTTTTTATTCTTAACATGCTTCTGTTATGCCTGATTCCCCCTAGATAGTTTTTCATAAACTATTTTGTCAAAATGCATTTTTTCGAGTCTTTGCGGTTTCCATGTCTTTGACGCCTGCGCCAGTGCCTTCCATCATCTTTGAGCCGTCTGTAAAAATCGACAGACCGGGCAGTGGTAAAGAGCCATCAGTCCAGGATTTCCTACTAGGAAACTCTACTCTGATGTCATTAAAGTCTCTTTGAGAGGAAACATAGTCACTAATGTGAGCACTCCTCACAACCTGGCGTCGTGTGAAGGATACTTGCGTGACCAACGTTTAGCGACTTCCAGGTATCCGTTTCCCGGAGCCTTAGAGCACACCTAGCAATTTGGAATTTAGTCAGAGAGTCCAATGGTTGGAGGCTCAAGATTGCATTCAAGGCTGCTTTTGTTGTGCCTCTTAGCGCTCCCCGTTGTCAGAATCGATACCGATCGCTGTACTGTATTCGTTTTAGTCAGCAGTATCTTTTTGATGAGCCCTTGGCAAGGCATCACATACAGCTAGTGTATGATCTCTGGTCTTAGTCCCCAACTCTTACCTATAGAGCTCTTGCAGGAATAGAGTGTTATTAGTTCTTTCTTAGTGCGTTCCTCACATTCCTATTTCACGTTAATTTGTAGTCAAGGATTGTACCAAGGTATTTTGGTTCTAAGGAAAGGGATAAGGTTACTCCATCCAAAGATGGCAAGCGGAAATTTGGAATCTTACGTTTCCTAGTGAATATCACTATTTTTTCTTAGTGGGGTTTTTGCCAAGACCATTGACAAGTGTCCAGTTGGGCAGAGTTTAAAGGGCTCCCTCCATAATGTCTGAAATAGTCGGCAGAAACTTTTCACTGACTAGCAAGACTACATCATCAGCATAGGCTACAGACTTTTTTAGGATGGTCGAATTTCAGCAGTATCTCATTTATCACCAAAAGCCATAAAAGTGGGGACAGTACTCGTCCTTGTGGTGTGCCTACGTTGACAGACATCCTCACGGAACTAGCTCCCAAGGACGAGTTGATAATTCTGCTTCCCAGCATTCTATCAATACAGTCCGTTAGGAGGGAGTGGATACATGCTTCGATCATTTCCGATTTCATCGACATGGGCGAGGTGCATATTCAACGTCAAAAAATTCCTGAACGGAATCTACGAACCAAAATTGCACATAATTGGCTGTTACAGTATCGGAACCATCTATCAGTACAGGCTCTGTCGAAAAAATAATTGATTTCTTTTTCCCCAACCTAATATATTATTATTCTATTTTATATAAATGGAGCACCTAACTTCATTTTTTTGTCCGATTGAAATGAAATGTTGCATAGTGTAATAAATCTGGGTCTGAAATACCATGTGTTTTGTTAATATCGGTTCGGATTTCGATATAGCTTCCATATATTCCCAATATTTGTTTGATTAAAACGATATTTTTCATAGCGTATTGAATTGAGTTTGGAATAACGTGTGTAAGGTTTTATTGAAATCGGATCAGATACCAATATAGCTCCATATTGCATACCGGATACCGATGACGTATGTCAAGTTTTCTTCCTTTCGGTAGAGATTTACATATAGTTCTCATATATAATTTTGCCCGATTTCATACAATGGTATCCAAGCCAGCCTGGTTGACATGGAGTTTGCATATCAGTTCTGTCGACAGAATATTTACTTATGAGCATGAGTGGTGTTGAGATTACAAAAATACAAAGGAAAAACAAAGAAGAGAGAAAAATATGTGGCTTAAAAGGAAGAATACATTAAGTCGCAAGAGATTTTATTCTGCAGTGACCTATTAGGATAAAAATCTCACAGACAGCTGAGTCGATAATGAATTTTACTCTAAGTTAGAAGGGTTATGTTTTAAAAAACGGAATCATAAAAGTACGGTGAAGGCTCCAAATCAGTGTTGCCGAAAGTGGGCATTTATGCCCAAAAGTGGGCATAAATAATGTAATATTTTGGACTTGGGCGGATTTTGGGCATATTTTTCGTTTCCGGCGCATTTATTTTTTTGTGTATTTGTTTACGCTACACAATTATTTTTTGAGAAATAGTTTTCTGTAGTGATCGGACAATCATTATAGGATAAAATTGACCAAAATATTTATTAATGTCTTATTCTAATCGCTCTATAGATCATAAGTATGATCCGAATATCATATAATTTATCCGGGAAGTGGATCTGGGCATCGAAGAACATAACAATCTATGGTGGACATGTTTTATCCAGGAACATATTAAATAAAATCATTTGTACTTTGAAATCATCTCAACTATCTTGACTTATGTGTTGGGATATACCAAAATGCTCATATGTGGACAAACATTCACTGAAAATGTATGTCCAGTGGTATTTGTCAACCCCTTCCGAATATTCTGTTCCGCTTACTGGTTTTCTTTTAGGTCATTCTGTTGGGTTTCCCGACATATATACTACCTCAATATGGTTTGCTGTGGTCTCTATTGCCAAGGTGGAACATTTTTATTATA